TCAGGCTTCAGTGTAATAATACATTCTGAACCCTCCTGAAATAAGCTGGACCCCACTCTGACAAGACCTTTAAATCCTCTGAGTGTCAGAAGATTAAGCTTGACACCTTTGGAGTTCTGGCATAAGATGACTCTCAACTAACCCTCTATTTTTAGAATTAGATGTTGCAGTACTGATTGACAACTTAGCTACTAAAACTGAAGTCTGGCATGAATCTCTCTTTTCTCAGGAATCAAGCTTTATTTGTTGGCATGTCAGCCACAGGAGCCTACTCAGTTCTTCTGCAGAGGACATTGGCAGATCTTACATAAAATCTTAAACAGTTCTATACATCTTCAGGGCTTATCAGCACAGGGCTAAAGAGTTATCAATTTTTGCACTAGGACAGATTTGGTGGATCAATCTACTAGCAGAACAGGTGCACGTATCTTCCTCAGGGGAAACAGAAAAGAGAATGACATGTTATTTACAATTTTCTCCTTTTTTGAAAGCCACAGATGTTATCACGTTTTTCTGGCTTGAAGGTCAGCACTAAGCACTGCACAAACTCTTTTATAAAAACAGCCCTCAAACAAGAAAAATGAATCACAGGTACTTGAAATAGTATAGAAATTATTTCATATCAAGAAATAAGGTCCACGTTTTGCTCAAGTGAGAAGTACTGAAGGGCAAATGGAACAGTTAGCTGAAACTATACTGCCCAAAAACCTGAGCTCTAAAGCTTCAGTGATGCAAGGAAACATATTTCTTGTGCTGTCTCAGTAAACAAAGCTTTCCAGGTGTTTCATTATGGAATAAGCACTGCACTGACTTACCTATTTTAGCTGCTCATCAACTATTTCCCCTCCCTTTGAAGGATATTAGCCAATTAGAAATGTAAGCCAGTAGAAAAAAATGTGTAAGTTTTACAAGTCCTCCAAGATCTAAAGAACACTTAATTTTTGCAACATTACTTTACTTGAAAATAAGTCAGTCACTCTCACTATCTTAGAGCAAAATGTACCATCTTACATTAAGAATATTTTGTGGAATTGGCAAAGACAGCTAATCACTTTGATACTGACCGTATGCAGACAGATCCTAGAGCAAATTCTGAAGCATGGATACCAAGTGCTGTAGGACACTGTTGCTCAGTTAATTGTTACCCACCTCGTCCCTTTTTGCTGTACCATGAGCTTGCCTTGAAAGAAATTATTTGTTCCGTTATGACAAGAAGCAAGCAATTATTTGGCCATTGAAATATTTCATGTCCAATCTTAATAAGGAAGTTTAAAATGTAGAAATGTAAAGCAATAGCTTAAAGAACATAATATCTGTGTTGCTACCACTAATAACATCACTCCAGTGTCATTCCAGCATCACTTCTGGTGTCATACTGCCTGTCACTAAACACCTCCTTTTTTGACTGTCTCAAACAAATAAAACAAAGTGACCAAAACTGTTTTCAAATGAGAAGACTCTTAGTATACTGGAAAGTAAAAATTGTATGTAGGTCATGAAGACCAGCACCCAAAGTTAGTAAAGGAAACAAATAAATGTATTTACCTCCTGGAACGCCTTCTGCAGTAACAGCAGTAACAGCAACAGACTGCTAAGGACACCAGGATGAGTCCAGCTACTACAGCTATGGCAATAATTAAAGCCTCAAAGTTTACTGAAAAATAGGAATATATTCAACTTGTTAGACTCTAGCATTAACATTTCTCTTTCTGATAATTCTTCCCCTCCTTCCCAAGCATTTTTTTATCTCTGTATAAAAAAATTAAAACAAAACACACAATTCTTTGCAATCACCCCAGGTAAAGCTCAGCATATCACATTAGAATTTTGCTACTATGCATAATCTACACTGAACATTAAGTAAGATTGCTCTTTACATATACCCAATTATTAAAAGTCATCCTGTAATAATTTATATGATATATATCTACTGGTGTGATTCTACAGCTCTGCCCTCCCAGTCACGATCTTAGCAAATGTACAGCACAAACAAAGTCATATAGATGTAGCATCAGTGTACACACATTACATGCAGCAGTTAGAGGAAGAGCAAAATTAAATAAGACAATGTCAGAGGACTGGAAGGAGTCAATATAAAATTTTCCATAAAACTTTCTAAGTCATCTTCTAGAGCTATTAACAAATGGAGGGGCATGGTATTATTTTACCAGTATCCACTATAACTACTGTAGTTGGTCTACACCAGGACAGGACTGCATTCATAAAAAACAAGAATCCGAAACCTGATGTCCTGGAAGAGTGAGGCCCAAGAAAGCAAATAGGGATACAAGCAAAGCTACAGACACAACTTTAAGGAGTTTGTAAAGGACAAAATGAAATCATTCAGGGAAGTTGCAATAACAGAGATAAAAACTAAATGTCTCTCCCCACACATACTCCATACTGTCTATTTTAAAGCATCATAGGGGAAGGGGCAGGGAAACTGTCTCTTCTCCTTTCTCCCTCATAAATCCCTCTGAACTCTGCCCAATTCAGCAGCTTCATGCTGCTGCAGTAATACAAAGTAGCTGCACATGCACTTTTTACTGCTTTAGGGTACTAGTGACAAGAGTCAAATTTAGCAAGAGAACTTCAGAGGGTCTATCCTCTCTGATCACATGCACAAGTCAAAGTTTGTTACTTCTCTACAGATCTCACCAACTCGCATCTGGCCAAGGCCTATTCTTCACAAATCTTGCCAAAGATTAGTTTCTACCAAATATTTGTGCTTGTGTGTTATAATTTACTGGCTTAAGTTTATAACACAGACTAATACATAGTTTCTAGTTGCAATACACAAGTAAATCTTGAACATGTATATTCTGAAAGTAACACATTTCACCATACCACATTTTTCATTGTTATTCCCCTACAAGTTACAAAGAATTCAATATACCTCACTCAGTGAAGTAAAAACAAAAAACGATTTTAATCTTCATTTTTTTTTTAATTATATTATTTACTTTTTAAAATGCCGTTTAATTGACAAAAAACATATTCTGAATCCACTAACAAAGTGCAGAAAAAGACTGTCAGTTTGCAGCTCGCATTCCTGTCCCCACTATCTATTTCATTTGCTTATGATTCATGAAAAACACCACAATCAAGGTACTTTGGTTTACATTGCTTCTACACTGTTCTTTTTCCTTCACTGCTGGTTAATAATCTGTCAGCACGTCTTATTCCATAAAAATTGTAACTGGAAGCCAGTCATTTGGTTTTGACTTTTTGAGAATTGCAATATTCACCTTCATTTTCAGTAACAATGAGCCAACACTCATCTCTTCATTTTATTTGCAAAAGGAAAAACACCACCATGCTCAAAATGTAATTAGTTTTCCTACTGTGTCCGAAGGGGACAGTCTCAATAAGACTATATATCCCCATGGCATGTTGCTGCATACAATTTGTAAAAAAATCCATTAAGGAAATGCATATCTAAGGGGGTTTTGTTGTTGTTTTGGGTTTTTTTTCTTTTCCACTTTACCTTTTTTGTCGAGAATGGGCTCCACTCTCTGTTTAAGCTGCATTCAATCTAGAAACACAAATGGCACCCAAGCTAGAAGCCATTTCTATAGGAGGTGTAAACTGTCAAGAATACCCTTAGTATCAGATACCAGTAATCACTGCTTTGCAAAAGGACACAGCACAAATGCATTTCTGTACTGGGAGTGGCTGGGACAGAGTTATCTTTCTTCACAGCAGCTGGTATTATGCTGTTTTCTGGATTTCTGGCTAAAACAGTGCTGATAACACACCACTGTTTTGGCTGTTGCTGAACAGGTTTGAAGAGCGTTGAGATTTTTCTCTTTCCTTCTCCCACTCCCCCAACTCTGCTCCCTCCAGTGAGTGGGGCTGGAGGTAGGCAAGAGATGCGAGAGATCAAGAGGGGACATTGCCAGAACACTTGCCCAAACTGGCCAAAGGGATATTCACACCATGTAATGCCATGATCAGCAACAAAACCTGAGGTAAAGGAAAAAGAAACGGAGGGCGTATCTGGCCTCCAAGGCGACTGCTGTTTGGGAACTGGCTGGGCATCAGTTTGCCTTTGAGAAGTGGCAAGTGATTTCCTTTGCTGCTTAGTTTGGGTGTCATCGCCCCCCTCCCCCCCCGCCATTTTTCCTTCATCTATTAAGCTGTCTTTATCTCAGTCCATGAGTTTTCTTGCTTTTGTTCTCCCTGTTTTCTTCCGCCATCCCACGGAGGCCAGGGGAGGGAGGGGGAAAGCAATTGTGTGGGTACTTAACTGTTGGCAGGAGTCAACCAACCACACTTCTAGAAAAAGGTTTGCTGAACAGTTCATAGTAACAGCATTTACTACAATACTGAAAGCCCGATTTCCTTAAAAGTGTGCCTTATCGGTGAAATTATGTTCCTTCTAAGCATAAATGCCTTCTCTCACAAAACAAACCACAAAGCCCTTCTGCTAAGAACAAAGAATTGCTAAATTCTCCTGTACTGTCGAACCCAGCCCCTTGGTTTGCTAGGATTATATGAAGTGGTAGTGTTCAGCAACTTGTACACTCCATTTTAATAGCAATCTTCTATCTCTGCTACTCTAATTCAAAGACCACTCCATAATCTGACTACTCTAAGTGTGATAACTTTCTTCTAATTTACAGTTAACATAGTCACTGATAGTTCACCTCCACTTGTTTTTGTCCTTTAGCCTCCTGGTGCTCATAAGCAAATACACAGTAAGCAGCAAGTCTTTGCTTTGCTGGACTGAAGATGTGCTCTTATTTCATATGCCAAGCTTTCCAAAGTCTCATTTGTTCTCTGTTCCAGTCTATTCTGAATTGAGATCTGTATACACAGTTTGCAAAACATCTCCAAAGATTTCACCCCAACGGCAGCATATGCACTGCACTGTATTTTGTAATACAAAACGTAAAGCAAAAGGAAATTTAAGAACAATGAAATGATGCAGCAGCACAAGCTGCAATGGCGCTCTGCAATTTCCTTTTTAACCTTAACTGTTTTGCCTTCAGCACCCACAGACTGCAGTTTTTTCTAAGCAAAAACAGCACTCAAGAATTTTTGGGTGGCTCCATTCCTGTGGATTTGGTTCATGGCTGCCACTGGAATATACTATAAAAATTGTAGATTCAAGCATATCATCCAACATTCTAAGAAACTTTTTAAAAGGTAAGAATGGTTGCCCTTTGTCAACAGGGAATGAACTTATTTCTCTGTACCTCAGAAGTATGGTTTAAGAAGCAGGTGAATCCTGACTACGTGCATAAAAATACTTGGAACATTCCAACATCCCAGTCTAGACTTCAGCGTCAACAGAACTTCACTACATAGTAAATGTTTTAAAGCCATCGGATCAGCGTAACTATACTGGCTGTTCACAAAGAACCCTCAACAATGACTTTTTCTAAGTCCAGAAGATTAGGGATCATAGGTCCAAATGTAACCACTGCTGCCTCCTCCTCCTCCCACTCCTCCAAATAAATTATCAGGAAATAGCTTTAGTAAGCAGTAGTCTTACTGTAATCTAGTTATACTAACAAATAATTATCTACAACAAAAGTAAAATTAGTACCTACTCCAGCAAACTCCCCATCGAGCATTTGAGAGTGAACATAACGAAGATGGTGGAAGAATGCTTCTTACAGGGTAATCAATACAAGTGTTGTTGGTGTAACACCAAAGGCACTGCAAAAAAAAGAAATTATTGATCTTTGAAAACAGTTTACAATTTAGTGCTCCTCTCCACAGACAGAATTCTTAAGTGCATACAGTACTGTACGGACATATTGAAAATGCTTTATAGCATAAAACCTACAGAAGTCCTGCTACAATTCCTAAGTAAGTCTAAACTGAATTGTGAATAAGTACATTTTCTACTTATAGGTAATAAATATTTACATTAGCCTGAAAATATTTGGGAACATACTGAGGTACTCTGTATATTTCAGGGTAAAAAGGGCTTTGAGTTTAGAATTATTGATATTAACATGCAACACAAAACCAGAAACTGTTCAGAATTCTAGAATGCCTAGTATCTTTGAGGAATGTAAATACACTTATAATCTTACCTCAGCCCTATATTTGACTATCAACAGAAACAGATAAAGAACACTTACAATTCTACAGGAGGTTTTGCTGCAAGGTAATAAAAGATACAGTCTTATCCAATTTGTGTTGCAAAGTACATTGGGTACCTTAATCGTGCACACTTACTTACATACCTGGGTATTTTTAAAATTGAAAATTTCTTATATATATGTTATAGTTACAATACCAGCACAACATTTTTGCTTTTCATATCACCACTAAGCATCAAGTTTAAGTTTTGTGTTTCATCTGTTAAAACAGATACTGATTCAAAACTCCTTTACCACACAACTCAACCAGTGCAGAAGTTTTAGATGATAGTAAAAGGAATTCTTGACAGAACAGGGTTTTTCAGGATTCATTCTAGAAAGAGCTCATCCAGAAACCACGCTTGATCTAACAGTACCATGAAGAAATCTGTCATACATCCTCAAGTGCACAAAATCTGTTATCTTGCTCCAAAAGGTTCAAAAACATTAAATACAATGGAAACTGTTTGTAGTAGATTCTGGTCTCTTGGAAAAAAAGTGAAGAATGAGACAGGAAAAGTTTATTCATATTTTGTAGTTGGTAGACTGTACAAGTCAAACATAACCATAAAGACACATCAACAAAAATAATTAAGAAGGTAGAATAATCTTTGCAAAAACCTGTCCTCCTAAATTTTAATTTTAATGAAGGACATTAGATGGGAACATGCTTATTTTCATTGGTTCAATTATTTAACAAGAATTAACAGTTCAAAAATAATGACTAACGGGGCAGACTAAAAGCCATTGTTAAACTTGTTTGAAGGTAACGTTGACCCTGTTCTGAGTAGAAAGCTGGACTAGATGACTTATGAGGTCTCTTCTAACCTGAATGACTCTATACTGTTGGTGACAACTAGGAGCATAGAAAGGTCAATTGTATCACTGATGGAGACTACTGCATCTAACTATTAAGAACGGGTATAGCCCAAAAGACAACATCCAATACAGCTACTGACTGGTGCAGAGGATGAAGCAAGATTCCATTGACTTGTTCCTAACACTAAAAATTGAGCTAATAATCAAAATCAAGTTTGAAAAAAAGAAAAAAGCCTAAACACCCAAGGGTGATATGTTTCCCTAACTTTGATCCTCATCTACATCACCTAAAAAATAAAGGCTGAAAAGACTTTATTTTATTTAGAGATTAATCATGTATCATTTGCAGAGTATGCTAGGAACCATGTTCACAATCTGATGAGTATCACTGACTTCATTTTAGTAGAGGCTTGTGGAAAATTAAATGCAACTTCATTAATTTAGTCCATACTCATTTTAAAGACATGTTCTCAGTATTAGAAGATATAAGTAACTGCAAACACAAAATGAATGCTTCTTCCTCTATAATCAGACAGATGTATGCAAGTGACTATTATCCTCACCTTTCCTTTGAAAAAAATAGCTATGTCTATTGAACATAAAATTTCCTATAGCTGTTGTTAGCTCCATTTTTTTAATGCCTAGCTTGCCTAAAATACGTTTGCCACCAGAATTTAGATTCTATACATTTGTTATTAGGAGAAAAATAAACAGCTGAGGGGAAAAGCATGTTGGTAGACTACTCAGAAGTTAAAAATCAAACTTTGGAAAATTATCCAGAATGCTGAGGTTTTACACAGATTTTAAAACGTAGTCCTATCTAACTAGTGTTTGCATTACATATTTTGTCTTACTGTCATAGGCAGTTAGAAACATGAAGACAAAACTATCAAGACATTAATCAATAGATATTTACACATTATCTGGTAACTAGATAAAGTTCTCAAATTTTAATTCACCTGATAATCTTCTAGACACAGCAGTAAATATTTCTTTGAAGTAAATAAACTGAGTTTCAGGATTCAACAGCACCAATCAAAACCCTTATATGTTATTTTTTAATGTACCATATTGTAAGGAAAAAGACAAAAGGCAAATGGTAGTCTATCTATGAAATTACCACTCAGAACTTATTGATAATAACATGAGAAAATAGATATTCATCAAGTCGAAAGACCAACCCAATTATAGCTACAATAAACAAAGTCTGAGCCTTTGAATTATAATTCTAGTTAACTGAACTAAATTACTACATCTGAGGGTTTGTTTGGAATTGGTTTTATCACCATTATTCACCAAATGTTAAATTTTCATTTTTATCTGCTGCTGCTATTTATATTATCAGCAATATGAAAACCTGATTTTTTTTCTACTGAAGTAATTAATTTCAGCAACTCTTGTTTGCTTTTGTATTGCTCATACAAATACTAATGATTTTGTTCTGTAGTCTTTTTTTTTTTTTAATGTATGTGTGAATTGTCTGAATGAAGTCTAAACTCCTCTCTTCAAGGTTAACACTGATGCTATTGAAGCAGTTGCCCTGAATCATCCATCGTTCCATCACTGAAACAAGCCTGGACACTGTCATTGTTTTGACAGAATCTGAAAATAGTGTATCTGTAACTCCCTTAGTGACTCCAGTGCACAAACACAACAAAAGGATTTATTTCTCTCACAAGGTGAACACACAGCTCTCAGGTTAATAAAAGTTGTGCTCATGTATCTGCAGCAGCACTTATTTGAAGTAACAGTCACACCAGTGGTAGTGCTGAACATTTAATCTTTAATGACCCATATTTTCCATTTCCTACTTTATGCTTCTGAAGATGAAGAGTTCTTCACACAATGTTGTGCTTATGATGACAAATATACAGGTCTGACAACACACAATAACCACATCGATACAAGGCAACTAATATTTTTCCATTGAAAATAAAAAAAATGCATAAGACAAGCATGAAACAGGCACATTCACATATTTCTCTGTTTTCCCTAGTGCAAAAGTTTCACAGCAACTTACATAACTTAAAGACTCCTGAAAAACTTCTTTCAGTGACATCTGAAGACATTCAAGACAATCTTTCACTTTCAATAAGGGAGTTTCTTCTACTTTGCAGGGAGAGACACCTTTTGCATACTCATCACAACCCTTACTGTGGAGCTAAAAAGGTTTTGAGCACAGGACAAAGAAAGCAATTCTATTGCTTTAAACGTCTGCCTTACCACAGTATCATTGGAAAACTGAACACCTTGCTACCAGAGCAGAGATCTAGCCTGGCAGTCTTAAGAACTTCCAGTGTGATGTAGTCAGTGGAAAGGCCGACAGGCCTGAATATCTAGAAAACACTGATCCAGCCTGCCTCAGTTAAATGCATTACTTGGGGCATCTCCACAGAAAGGCATTTCCAGTTTATTTACATTAATTTCCCAGTTCTCCTATTCAGCATACAAGAAACACAAGGCACTTTACCTCTAAACGATTGAGTTTATCTAGCCCTTTTATAAGACAGAAATTTAACTAAGTGCTCCTTGCAAAACGAGGACAAGTCTACACCAGCAGCATCAACACTCAGTTGTGCTGTGACAGCGCTGAGCACACACTGAAGCCTGGAGTGTACACAGCCTCTTCTCTCCAAAGCACAGAAATACCCTGAGCAACGAAATCATGGAGCAACCATGGCAAAGGGAAAGCACACTGGCATGACGCGTGACAGAGAGGAAGCAGTATATCAGTTGACTCTACTATTTAAATAAGAACAGATACTAGAACTGACTGATCTTGATTTCCTCTTAAGGGTAGTTTGACTAGATTCACCATTTAAAAACAAACCAAAACCCCCACCAAACAGCCAAACAAACCCTAACAATTTGATTTACAAATTAAGTGCAAAAATGGCCAAATTCTCATCAGTCAAAAAGGACGTTAAAAATCTTACCGAAACGTTTTTTAGACATTCTTCACAGGACCTCCGGGAAAACTCTGAACACGCTAGAAAAAAGAAAACCACAGAAAGATGATATATTTATTTTTACTCCATAATGTCAAGCATCTATCATCATATCTAGCATTTTCTTTTTTCTACTTCAGGATATAAGCAACAATTTTGACTGAAGTAATGAAAGAAAAACTGCATTCCAGGAGAACTGTAGCAAACACATACAAGCATTTAAGTTTGACTTCTGACACAGGGAAAGAATTCAAGCTTGCCTTTAACTTCAGTTTGCTTTCTCTAAGGACAACATGGGAGATATAACTCAAGAGCCTCTCTGTATCTCTGCTGAAGTTCTAAGACTTCTACACTTCAACTTAGAGAATATTCCAAGTTTTGCAGCTTTGGAAGCCTAGCAAAAAGCTAAGCTTTGCCTGAGGTTGGTCCCACTTTCATAGATATTAATCTTTTTGTGGGGTAAAAAATAGTTTTTAAAAGATAAAGCTCTCCAATAGCATGATTTTAAATAACAATTAAAAAATATTTCCAAACATAGGACAAAGTTATTTTGTAAGAGGTGAACAAGAACTCTAACAGAAGTTTGAAAAGCCAAGTGATGCAGAAGGAATAAATTAATGTTTTCTTTGTATTTTAAAAAACATCTTCTATCCTAAAAAAAGAAAATATTCACTGGTGTTCACATTCCCAGAGGACTGAAGCCAAAGGCTGGGACTTTCTTTTCAAAGTACTCAATGCTTATCAACTTAAAATCGGTCTTTAACCACAATGTAGACATAATTTGCTGCCCACTGGACCATGTCCATGCCATAGTCTTGACCTAGATTAACTACTTGACAGATGAGGGGTTCTTCTCTCCTGGTCTGAACCTGGATTTTTCTTCCAATAATTATAGTTCCTATGATCCCTTTTGATACTATTTAATGAAATTAACTTTTTATTATTTCCACATATCATAAATACGAGGGAAAAATATCTCCAAATCAGGAAATTCCAAATTCTACTTTTAATTAAAAACTGCATTAGTCACAAGCAGTTATCAATTTAAGCTAAATTACTGGCATGTTTTCAGACAACTATTTCAATGTTTTCTTTTCATAATTCAATATTATACCTTTCTGACACTAACTCTTAACATAAAATGTATTTTACATACCAGCATATTTAGCTTTTATTAGTATATCCCCATAGAAAAACCACTTGCTAGTTTATCCAGTACCAATTAGTGTTGTTATCAGTACCAAATAACTGAGAAATAGCCTAAGTGTAAGGCCCATATACCAATTCACGGGGGGGGGAAAAAAAAAAAAAAATCAGGAAAAGCAGATTCAGAAATAGTTCTCAGCTTGAACAAAAATTTTCAAAAGGGATTATTCCACATGGAGTACCACCATGCCTATTATAAAAATATTTCATTACATTTTCAATTTAAGGTTTAGAACACTTAAGCAAACCAGCTTTCTGAACACAAATTAGGAAGCTATTGTCAGAAGTATGCAAGTACACCAAAGACTTCTAAAAACGTGGTTTAGGTTACATTTTCAGCAATTGAACCACCTACAGCAAAATGAAGAAATGTAACGCCTTAGATGCTTACCAAAGGAGGTAATCTCACAAGCTTTTCATGCTGTTTGCCTTCTTTAACTGCCTTCCTACTGACATATTACAACAGATAACCTTTACTGGCATATAACCAAAAGATGGGGGCTTAAACTATTAAAAAAACTCCCATAAATAATGCAAGTCTAATGTTTTTTAAAGAACAGTATAAAAGAGTTTTCATGAAAAATACTTCAAAATGTATCATCACAACATGCATCAAAAATCAAAACATCTTTATGTACTGCTGTTACAAAATTTAACATTACTACGAGTGATTGAAAAAAAATATTTTTTCCATTCTGCTTTATACATTTCTCTGGGTTGCGCAACTTACAGATATATAAATTTCCCACCAGTTACAGTATTCTCCACAAGAGCAGAAGATAGAACAAAACACCTCTCAAACTGAAAGAGAAGAAAAACTCAACAACCAACCCCTCTAATCCACCTTGCTAAAGCATTATGTTTACCAGCACACTAAACAACTTTGATTTTTTTTTTTTTTTTTTAATTCTAACAGACACTAAGTTGACATCTCCCTCTAATATTTCAAGGGACTACTGTATTATCTTTATCAGGGGGAAAAAAAAAATAATGTAAGCCATAGCACCACTCACCAACAAAAACTCACATTTTATGTTAAACAGTATTTATCAAACATAATAATTCCTTCCATATTGGCATATAACATCAGCATGAATTAACGTGATTATCTCATCAATAAAATGAGAAATCATTTTTACATACCAAGCCTAGTTTACCAAGCAGTGGAAGTATTACTTTGGTTAGTGGTATAATTTTTACCAAAATAGTTCAGTGTAACACCTTGTACAGAGTGAACTGTAGCTGTATGAAGATTATAATTCTTACAAGATAAGAAAAAGCTATTACTGTTCGGGCATTATTTTTCTTTCTTTACAACTAGAATGCTGCCCACACATACAGGAGTTGCACTAAAAGTTAAGTATACACCACTTAGCCGTATGATCTCACTTTCTAGGAGACATACTCATGGACCAGGGTAACAACACACAAATACAGGACAAAGGCTGTTTCTCCACAAAATACAGGTAGAAACAGCATAGCACTGTCAATAAAACTCCATTTTGTTTAAAAACAGCTTTCCCACCTCCTCTTTCCCATATGTATTTATGCATGAAGGTAACATATGCAGAGATTTTTTTATCTTTTTTAAGGAAGACAGGGCTCTACACTGGCATACGCTAAGGACTGGCGACTGCCATACAACCTTAAGATAAGTAAGGAAGGGGAGAGCTCTTATTATTCCACTAAAACACCCACAAAACCAAAGCAAAACAGTGCAACTGCTCAGACAGTCAGAAACCTTTCAACACCTACTCTAAGCTTATTCATAGCTAGTTTACTTTAATTTGTTCTCTGCCCCCACTCTCAGGACAACACTGTTCTTCAACTTAAACTGTTGTTCCCTCCTACTGGTATAACAGCACTTTTTCCAAGTACTCTTATTCCCCCTCAGCCTTCCTCCTGCTCCAGTAGTCAAAGCCATACTCTTCTTGGCATTTTCTGAAATAGGGAACAATACAGCCTTTGCAGCCCTGCTTTGTGCCAGTCCAGTCCTGTTGAACGCAGGTGCTAAACTTCTGGAATATTTCGCAGGATGGCATACAAGGTCCCACAACCTTGCAAAACTACCATTTCTCTCTCTTCACAAGAGCATCACTTCAAAAACTGATACCCATCCAACGGTCAACGAGTCTACCTCCCTACTTTTTTCCAACTGCTTCAATTTAAGATTAAAATAATACTAGTCATATCGCCTAACAACCCATCTTTCATTTTCCACTTTAATCTTATTTCTAATATTTATTCCTTAAAGGTCACTCACATCTTTCTGCATAATATCATGATCCTTCTCCATATCAACAACCAGCTTAGCATCATGAGCATATTCTTAAACTTACTTAAGAATAACAGTACGTGAAAACTTGTTTCCTAGGGAATCCATAAGCAACTCCACTACCGATTCAACCTGATTTTTGGCTCCAACCAAACTCTGTTTCATTTACGTTTCTCAGAACTACTAGAAAGAAACTGATTAACTTGCAGTTATTAGCAGGTCTACCTTTTGTTCTTTCCTCTCTACCAGTTGAGGAACACTGACCGCTCCCCTTCTCTTCCGGTTCAAGTTAGTTGTCTCACAAAGTTGGATACTTTCTTTTTCGAGTGTAAACCCTTCCATAAAAAGAGTGAAACACCTCAAATTGTACTCTAAATACACACATCAAGCTCCACTTGAGACACCCTAATTACATGCAAACTAACCTGATGTACACATTTCTGGTCACATCTATTAGCAGTAACCGAATTTGAGCACAGGCTTCACCAACTGCTTTCCAAAAGCAGCTATGATAAGCGATTTCAAGAGAACAAACAGGACGGCTCCTCCGTCAGCTCCTCCTTCCAAGCCACGTTCCTTATCACCAGTCAGAGCAAAGAAAACCTAGGCGATTGCTGTCTCCTTGCAGCAAAACTCGCGATAACCCCACGGCCCCGAAGGACAGCCAGCAGCACGAGCCCTAGTACCACGGCCCCTTCCTTCGGTCGGAAGCTCGGAGCCAGCCCCCCGGGAGCAGGCTGCCCGTCCTGTCCCAGCC